CGGGGCCCGGGCCCTCGTCGCCGCCCTCCTGTCAGCTGCTGGACGCCGTGCTGCAGAACCTCTACGACTTCGGTGAGTGGGGCCCCGAGTCCACGTGGAGAGCGGACGGGGGAGCCGAGGGTCTGCCGTGCGCACCGACCCGGCCGGGCCTCTGCCTTCTGGCTCAAGGTTCTGGGGAGCCGGCCCCCCTCAGCTCGACCGCCCTGCAGCGGTACCGGGTTCAGCACACACCTTCTCCGCCTGTCACCTTTCTCCCGCCCCCTCGGTCGAGTTATTCTTCAGGAATCACACCTCCCGACTCTCCTTAGCGTGGCGACCGGCCGAGCGGCTGGTCGGAAGCACCGAGGCTTAACCGGGGCGATGCGCGCGGCCCTTGGGCTTTCGAAATTGCCCGCGTTTCACTCTGCCGGACCTCTGGGCAGCCCCCACCCCCACTTCCCGTACCCAGCTGACCCTCGTACGTTAGTGCCACCTCGTCCTGTTGGAGCCTCATCCTTCAGCGCGTCCCCTCCCCAAGGGCTTCAGAGGGTCGCTTTTCACAGCCTTTTCGTCCGTAAGTTGGCGGAAGGGAGAGGGAGGGAGGGAGGGAGAGAAACATCCATGATGAGAGTCGTTGATCGGCTGCCTCCCGCACGCCCCCTGCTGGGGGTGGAGCCGCAACCCGGGCCTGTGCCCTGACCGGGAATCCACACCGATCTCCAAAGATCTTAGGTTGATGCTCCACCGCTGAGCCTCACCGGCTTGTCAGAACCTTCAGGTGAGTGGGCAGAGTTGGAACAGGTGAAACAAAGAGGAGCTTTAGTAGCAAATGAAGGCATTCAAGTGAAGGCAGTTGTTTTAGGTTCATCTTAATTCATAACGGAAAGAAGATAGGGAAACAATAATGCCCACCTGTAACCCTAGAAAATGTTAAAAACAAAAAACACACTGGCTGTCATTTTTAGTACAAAGCAGACATTTTTTAGTACAAAGTGTGAGCCAACTAGGATTACCAGTCTGGGACTATTGCCATGATGACACTTTTAGTAAGGACCAAGGTGAAGGCTTAAAATAACCATGTTAAGGAGAGTCAAAGACATAAATATAGTTACCTAGGAAAAGATACCGTGCATTTTGGATTCTGTAAATTGTGCAAATAAAACTCTCTTTGAAGGAAAACAAGCTTTTCTCTGTGTATAGATCAGGGTGTTTCTAGCTGTGGCACGTGTATACATGCATTTTCGTGATTTGATATGGGCGGTAGCTAAAACCAAAAATATTTTTCCTTCTTGTGTTTGAGCAAACAGGAGAGGCAGAAGATGAAGCAGAACAGAAAAGGGTCAGAAGGAAAAGGGAAAACAAGAAGAGAGATGTGAGGACACCAGAGGTGTTGGGGGCGGAGTCTGCTCCCCCACCTGGCTCTCTCGCACGAGGCCAGAGGAAGAGTGCCTCGAGCTTCTTCTTGGAGCTCAGAGAAGAGCTGCAGTGTGGCCCTGCTGTGACCCTCACTGGTGCCTCTGCAGGACCCCAAGTCCCTCCTGCTGCAGCACCTCCCTCTCCCCTGGATAAGAGGGAGCCAGTAGAAGTGGTGGAATTCCACAGCAGAAATAAGAAGAGAAAACAGAAGCTGGATCAAGACGAGAACACAAAGGTAATGAGTTGGTTAGTTTATATGTATAGGGTGAAAACCCTGATATTGTAGAATTAGGTGGATATCTTTGTAAGACTATGTCAGGGATCCCCAAGACCATACCCTCAGGCTTGAGGATTTGCTGAAAGCACTCACAGGACTCAGGACTCAGCATATTATATCATAAGTTATAGTTATGACTTATAGCAAAAGGATACAGAGTAGAATTGGCAAAGGGAAAAGGTACTGGGGGCAAAGCCTGGATTAAACCAGATGCAATGTCCAGGGGTCCCCTCCCGTGGAGCTGCTTAATTTCCCCAGCAGTGATGTGTGACTGCACATGGGAAGTGCTGCCAAGTTGGAAGGCTCACCCCAGCCTGGGTGTCCAGACTGTTTATTGAGGGTCAGTCATGTGGGCATATAGACTGACCTTAATTATTTAAGTTCTAGACCCTCAGAGGAAAAGCTGGTATTCACCATAAATCACATTGTTAGTACAATAGTCCCCCCTTATTTGTGGTTTCTCTTTCTGTGGTTTCAGTTTACCATGGTCAGCCTCGGTTTGAAAATATTAAATGGAAAATTCCAGAAATAAATGATACGTAATTTTTAAATTTCATGCCATTCCGAGGAGCGGGATGAAATCTCACCCTGTGTGGGACTTTCCTGCCCAGGACATGGATCATTCCTTTGTCCAGTGTATCCATCCACCCAGTATGTGTTCCCTGCCTGTCAGTTGCTTAGTAGCTGTCGTGGTTATCAGAGAGAGAGAGAGCACATTCACATAACCTTTTATTATAGTGTATTGTTCTAATTGTTCTATCTTATTGTTAGTCTTTTTACTGTGCCTAATTTACAAATTAAACTTCATCGTAGGTATGTTTGTATAGGAAAAAGCATAGTATACATAGGGTTCCGTACTATCTGCAGTTTCAGGCATATACTGGGGGACTTGGAATGTATTCCCTGTGGATAAGTGGGGATGACTGCAGGAAACTATCTGAGCAAATTTGGTACAGCGTGGGTCAGGGTTTCAGGTGTGAAGAAACACTTATCAGATGGGACAGTCTAATTGTTCCATCCCCAGGAGCAGGCCAAGGGCCAATGTTGAAAACAGGACTTTCTTGGGAGTATGCAGGGATTGATAAACTCAAGTCTGCTGAGTTAACACTTTCCTTGTCACAAGCCCTCTGCTTAATGGTGCTCAGAGAAAACTCAGTCATTCAACAACTGTTTTTGGCCACTCTTCTAGTCACTGGACTATAACATTGGACAAAGTAGACAAAACTTCTTGCTCTGAAGGAACTTACATTCTGATGAAAAGCAGTTTGATTTTACTGAGCAGCAATTTCTCAGACTGAATTTGTAAGTCTCACTCAAAGTTCAGTACATGAAAGAGATATGGTTGTTCATCCAGACTTTTTTCACAAGGATATCATAATGGTTTTGTTAAGTTCATTGCTAAAATCCAGATACTCCATTTTTGTAGCATTCCCCATGCCCTTTACACTCCCCAGATAGTTCTGGAGGCCAGAAGTTCAAAATCAAGGTGTTGGCTGGGACGTAATCCCTTCCAAAAGGGAGAATTATTCTTGGCTTCTTCCAGCTTCTGGTGGCTCCAGGCATTCTTGGCTGGAGGACACTTAGAAGGACACTTTTCATTGGGTTTGGGGCCCATCCTAAATCGAGGATGGATCTCATCATGAGATCCTTAATTATACTACAAAACCCTTTTTCCAAATAAGGTCACATTTACAGGTTCCAGGGATTAGAACATATCTTTTTGGAGGCCAAAAGTCGTCCCATTACAAAGATAATTTAGGCTCTGTTGTCCTTTCTGAATGTATGAACACATGCTGGTGCCCAGTGTTTACTACATCTTTATGGTTTAAAAAACCACCTGTGCTCAGGCCGGTGTGGCTCAGTTGGTTGGAGCGTCATCCTGTACAGCAAAAGGACATGGGTTTGATCCCTGGTCAGGGCACATTCAGGAGGCAAATGCTTGATGTTTCTCTGTCACGTTGATGTCTGTCTGTCTCCCTTCCTCTCACTAAAATCAATAAAAAAACCCAAAAACACCTGTGTAATCTTTTCTACAGTTCTGGTAGCACTTCATGTCAAGCTCAGCAGCATCTCCTCAAAGATTATTACTTCATTCTGTAATCACATCTACCTTTATTTTAGGATTTTAGGTCAGCTTTCTAACTCTTACACCCCAAATACTGAGGCACTATGTACTGTTACAGGCAGACCAAGAAGAAATGGATTCCCTTGGCCCTTAGGCCAGCCAGAGCCCCCAAGCTGGCCACCCAGGGGAGGTTACAGTGATTAGCCTTACCCCAGTGAACCATCCAAATGTTATGTTTTCTGTGTGTACCACTGCTTTGCCATATAATTCTGCATTTGGAGAATTTAACTTTGCTTCCTCAAGGTCTGGGTCTTCAGTTTCCTCTTACACTCACTCATGTTTCCCTTTCTGGAGTGGAAAGTGTTCTTAATAGAAAGGACAAAAAGTTGGCATTGAGTGAATCTGCATTTCCTTGTTTCTTAATGATGGAACGTCTACAGGAGACTATTGAATTGTCTTTTTCTTCCTACTCCAGATGGGCCCCTTTTCAGTGTGGTTGGCTTTTCTCAGGAACCTCAACCCATTCTACATTTTGGACTTCCTGACATTAATGAAATTTTTCCATTGTCCTTGGTGCTCTGTCCTTTCCTTCTTTTGAAAATTTAAACTTTGAAAAGGTGAATGTGTCTGGCTAAGGAGACAATATGGACACAGTAAAAAATGTATGCACATGAAAAGGCTTTAGAATGTTTCGTTGCAACATGTAAATAAATACAAATGAGTGTAATGCTAGTTATTATGTCATATCCTGGGCATAGGGAATGCCAGGTAGATAGTTGGGGCTCATTAGGATACATAATTATATGCTAAGAGTTTGTACAACATGGTAGAACACAGTTGTGCCCCAGCTCTCTAAAAGCTTACAAGTTATTGTAGGACAGTCCAAACAGAGATGGAATCAGCAAAAGTTTATTATAAACTAATGATAGCCTCCATTGATCAATCAGACTTGGCTGGTTATCTTTGAAAACTACTTGAGGACAGAAGGGATATTGGCCAGTTGGGCAGCAATACAGCTGGCTCTGCCCGGACCCAGGAAATGACTTTTTCCCAGAACTAAGGCTTGTACCATAAATACTGTTGTTAAACTGTATTGTGTATTGAAACAGGTTTTCGTGGGGTGATGCGGTAATTTAAATATGTATTTGGTCTTTGTCCCCATTCTGGCACAGGACTCCTACTACCCTTGACTTCCTAAGAGATGAGAGTGGTAAAGGTGTCTTTTATGTTAATGAGGTGACCTTTGGGAAGCATCTAAGGATGGCAGCTGGTTGCCTGAAGAACCAACCTTGTTGGTTGGAATTTTCAGTCCCACTCCCCTGGCTTCCAGGGAAAGGAGAGGGGCTGGAGATTGAGTTCAGTCACCAGTGGCCAATGCTTTAATCATTCATGCATTTGTAATGAAACCTCCATAGATTCCCAAAAGGACAGGGTTGGAGAGCCTCCTGGTGGGTGAACATGTGGTGGTGCTGGGAGGGAGGTACAATGGAAGAGGGCAGAGAAGCGCTGCTCCCTTTCCTTGTGTCTTGCTTGTACTTCTCTCCCATCTGGCTGTTCTGAGTTTCATTCCACAAATTATTGAGTGCCTACTATCTGCCAGACCCAGGAGGTCAGCAGTTAACTGCTACAGTCCTTTGCCCTCAGGGAATATATCATTTACTGGTGGAGTCAGGCAAACCCCAGGAAAGTGAATAATATAATTAAACGGTTATAAGCCCTCTGAACGAAAGACGTAGGGTCCTGAGAATAACAGGCAGAAGCTTCTTTAGGTAGGTTCTCTGAGGAGGTGACATAAGGCTAACTGCTCTGTTAAAGGCTGCTTGTCAAAGGAGCCAGAAAAGCAGTTCGAGAAAAGAGTAGGCTGTGTTGCAAGTACCCTGAGGTGTGGAAAGGCCTGCGGGGCCCAGAAGCTGGAAGACTCGGAGTAGGATGAAGGGGAGGGTAATGGGAGCTGGCCAGCCCTTGCCAGTTCTCGCAGGTGATGGTGAGGCCCTCAGGTTTTAGTTTAAAGTACTTGAGATGCCACCAAAAAAGTTTAAGCAAGGGCATGAGGTGATTTATGTTTTAAAAAGATCACTGTAGCCCCTCCGTAGTAAATAGACTGCAGGTCAGCTCTTAACAAGAGACATGAGGGGCCTGAGTTAGGACTTCACTGCAGGGGTCCAGGTACAGTGGAGTGGCATGGGCTTGGGGTGAACCCATTCTCAAATGAATATTGCCAGTGAGTAAATTCTAGTGCTCTTCGGGAAGTGTCACTTATAGCTTAAAATGAAACAAGTGGAGATCAGACTTGAAGACTCCCTAAGCAGACAAAACCTTTTTAGACCTGCAAGCAAAGTTTAACTTAGCCCATTTTGCAAGACAAGTGAGACTAACTTGACCTGGGTTACTTCGTGCTTTTGGCTCCAAAAATCAAGCAAAACTTACATGTCCCCCAAATTAATATGAAATAACCATTAACCAATCCTCTTTCATTTAAGAAAATTCTAATATTGTCACCAATCACTGAAAAATAAATTCACTGCCTCCATGCTCTGTATGCTGCTTTAGAACTTGCACCTCTGAGTGTCATTCTGTGTTAGTTTGAGTGCTCCCGAGTTGCAAACAGTCTTTTTGGTGTGTGCATAATACACTTTTATTACTTACCACTTCAGAGACTCACTGGTTTTACTTCTGTTTTGATATACTTTTGATATATCTTACTGCGTGTGGGACAGTAAGGCTGTATGAGTCAGGCTAGGCTAGGCCGTGGTTCTATAACAAATAGTCCCTACATCTCAGGAGTTTAAAAGCAGAAGTTAACTTTTATTTCCTCGTGTTACATGTCCATGGAATTGGCAGGGGCAGAGTGTTCTGCTCCATACCATCCTCACCTAGGATAATGGGGGCTCCACCTCTGGAAGGTCCTTAGTTGTTTGGTGAGGAAGGGGAGTTGACAAATGGCTCTTAAAGGTTCCATATGGAAGGGACATACTTCCCCTGCTCACATTTCTTTGGCCAAAGAAAGCCATGTAGCCCTGTCTGACTTCAGGGGGGCAGTGACGCCCGGTTCTATGTGCCTAGGAACAGAAGAGGACCCAGTGTTGTCCGTAGGTGGGAATCACAGCCTCCCACCACAGTGAGCATGAGGAGGAAGAAAATGAAACCTCCAGTTGTTTCTACATCAGGGAATGCGTTGTGAGTAATGTACCGAAGTGGTTTTAAAGCTACGAGTAAAAATTAACGTTTGATAATATTGAGGTTGTCCTAATAGACTCAGCATCATGAAATAATTAGCAAGAATTTTTTCCCAAATGTTTGCTTTTATTATAAACTCTCTCAGAAGCACATCAACACTACAAAGCTATGAGGTTGCTGGTGAAATGTTAACGAGGACTTGGGAACCCCAAGATGTCTATCCATGTCTGGCCAGACCTGCTACTCAGGTCTACCCTTGATCTGCACAGCCCCTCAGCCCAGATGTCCTCACAGCCAGGTGAGCTGCAGGGCTGTGCCTAATTTACAAATTAAACTTCATCGTAGGTATGTTTGTATAGGAAAAAGCATAGTATACATAGGGTTCCGTACTATCTGCAGTTTCAGGCATATACTGGGGGACTTGGAATGTATTCCCTGTGGATAAGTGGGGATGACTGCAGGAAACTATCTGAGCAAATTTGGTACAGCGTGGGTCAGGGTTTCAGGTGTGAAGAAACACTTATCAGATGGGACAGTCTAATTGTTCCATCCCCAGGAGCAGGCCAAGGGCCAATGTTGAAAACAGGACTTTCTTGGGAGTATGCAGGGATTGATAAACTCAAGTCTGCTGAGTTAACACTTTCCTTGTCACAAGCCCTCTGCTTAATGGTGCTCAGAGAAAACTCAGTCATTCAACAACTGTTTTTGGCCACTCTTCTAGTCACTGGACTATAACATTGGACAAAGTAGACAAAACTTCTTGCTCTGAAGGAACTTACATTCTGATGAAAAGCAGTTTGATTTTACTGAGCAGCAATTTCTCAGACTGAATTTGTAAGTCTCACTCAAAGTTCAGTACATGAAAGAGATATGGTTGTTCATCCAGACTTTTTTCACAAGGATATCATAATGGTTTTGTTAAGTTCATTGCTAAAATCCAGATACTCCATTTTTGTAGCATTCCCCATGCCCTTTACACTCCCCAGATAGTTCTGGAGGCCAGAAGTTCAAAATCAAGGTGTTGGCTGGGACGTAATCCCTTCCAAAAGGGAGAATTATTCTTGGCTTCTTCCAGCTTCTGGTGGCTCCAGGCATTCTTGGCTGGAGGACACTTAGAAGGACACTTTTCATTGGGTTTGGGGCCCATCCTAAATCGAGGATGGATCTCATCATGAGATCCTTAATTANAAGGACTGGGTATTCCGGGGGCCAGTGTCAAGGGAAACAGGGACATCAGAGGCTTTGCCTATCCTCTGTGGGCCAGTTTCTCCCCAGGACCCACGGATTTCAGCCTCACAGTAACCGGCACATAATTGGCCAAGAATTTTATTTCAGTGCGTGGGTCCTCTTTAGATCGTTGCATTGTAATGCTGACCTAATAACAGACCAGCCAGGGGCAGCTGTGACGTCTCCATAGTGCTAGAAATCTGATGTTCCTGAAAGAAATTTTCAACTCAGAAGTTTATTAGCTGTTGCTTCATGCGAAGGCAGAAAAGAGAAGAAGACCTTTTCAAACATTTAGAAAAGGAGATAAATGTTTCTTGGGATTTTGGAGATCTGTGGATAGTATACTTATTTTTATTTGAATTTATTGGGGTGAAATTGGTTAATAAAATTATGTAGGTTTCAGGTGTACAATACCATAATACATCAACTGTATGTTCACTACCCCAAGTCAAATCTCCTTCCTATACTTTTTTCCCCCCTTCTTATACTTTTTAAAAAATATATAAATTTGTATTTGAGGATTTGGTTATGATGATCCTGGAATCATTAGGATTTAATCCATTTGTTCTTCACAAGTACTGTTTATCATATTAGTTAGATTAGATGCACATGCCATTGGAAAAGATATCCTAACTTCAAAGTAAATATGGAATATTTTCCAGTCATGGGGGAGGAAATAAGACTTTCTGGGGTGGATAAATGGAAGTGCTCCACACAGCATCCTCTGCGCTCTGGCCATGGTCTCACGGCATTTGATTCTGTGATTGTCTGAAGAAGATTGTAAGCATAATAAAAGCATGGTAACATGGAAGATGCATTTATGAGGTTGACAGCACAGAGCTAGGCCATGTACCTAGAGCATGGCAGTCACCCTCTGTGATGGGATCCAGTTGGGCCAGTGTCCAGGTGACAGCAGGCGAGCAGTGCTGCGAAGGGTACTGGGAGCCTGTTGATTCCTTGTTGGTGGGTTAGTTGATGATGAGAGCATCGGTCAAGTCTTCCCGTTACCAATCCTCTGCTGCACACTTATGATACTTTATCCTGTGTCATTGTAGTAACCCCCAGAGGTTAGTACAGGGGTCCTCATGGAGACAGGAGCCATCATTGGTGGAAACATTCAGTGAGTGACCCACACGCCCACCACATAGTGGTGGCGGACAAACAGGATAAGCTGAAGTACAACTCCAGTTTGGGGAAGGAGAAACTAGAAGCCTATGGACTGCAGTGCACAGGCCACCGCTCAGCGTGGTGGAAGATGGGACACGCGCCGCTCTGCCCCAGCATAGCCCCCGCCCTGCGGGGCAGGACTGGCAGGACCGCCTTTCCAGATGCTGCCCAGCCTCTGCCGCCTGCTTCCTGTCTGTCCACATTGGGGGTGCGATTTAGTCGGGGCCTCTGTTGTTGGCCAATACAGATTGACAGTAATTTCTGGTCAATTCTGGTCTCTCTCACCATCTTTTCTTTTCTCTTAATTTCTCATCAGTTCTTTAATCCTTGAGACCTTAAAATTTTTTTCTCCATTTTTCTTCCATTAGTTAATTAGGATTTTGTGCAACATGCTTGTATTATTGTTTGGTATTTAGGTATCTGGGCCAGTTTCAAGGCTTTTTAAAACATGGCCACTCACTTGTTGATAGATACAGTAAAGATGTAGTAACAGATGATCTTAATAAGAATTTTTTTTCCTTTTCAGACCAAAACTAGTATCCTTGAGAAAGATGTGAATATACAAGAATTTAACTTAGAAAAGGTATGTGTTTTGAAATTGTTAATTTTCTCACCTTTATACTACCAAAAAAAAGATGACTTATGTTAACACGTCCAAGGTTTGGGGAAATGGTTAAACACATCACTACACTCCCTTGCTTGAATATCATGCATTCATTTGAAACATGGTAGTTTATGACTGCAATACCAATGCTACAGTGGTGAGTAGGAAAAGCAGGGAAACTGTGTTCTGTGGGTGTAACTAGGTTTTAAAATTGCATGAGAAAAAAGACAGGAGCAGGTAATTCAACGGCTAAGAGTAGGTATTGGTGACTTTTTCTCTTCTTTCTACATTATCTTTTAAAGAAAAAACACAGGTCTGTGTTTAAAGCTGTGATAAATGATTTCTAAGTGTGAGTAGGTATGTTTGGAGAGGTACTTTTAAGTTGGAATTACTGCCTTTGTGGGTAGCATCTTGTTGTAGAATGTCCCGAAGTGCTGCAGGCTCTGCATTTACTTCTCCTATCACTAATTCCTGCAGAGAGACTGCTTTGCTTCAACTGTCCTAATTAAACACAGGAACAGTGTCGCAAGATGCTGGTCACATTGTAGGAGACCTCACGCAGCTCCTTAAACCGTCATAGCAGTCTTGCTGGCTGCAGGTCGTGAGAATACACACGGGTATTTGACACACAGCACATTGTATCTGAAACGCATCACTGCTGAGCGTGTATTCTGTGGAGTTTTTAGAATGCACTTGGGTCTGATTCTGTTTGTGTCTCCAGGCTCGGCTGGAGGTGCACCGGTTTGGGATCACGGGTTATGGAAAAGGAAAGGAAAGAGTCCTGGAGCGGGAACGCGCGGTTATGCTGGGTGCGCAGGTAAGGGGCTGATTAGCCTCCTGTCACCAGACGGGACATGGCAAGCCAGGGCAAGGGAAACTGGAAGATTTGTGCAAAATAAAGATTGATGCCATGTGCCCCTTTTCTTTCATTTCAGCCTCCCAAAAAGAGTTATGTGAATTACAAGGTTTTGCAGGAGCAGATCAAAGAAAAAAAGGCAGCAAAGGAAGAAGAAAAGAGAATGGTGGGTGTGATGGCCTTTTCTTCACTAAAACTAGAGCAGAAAGATGGTTGCAGCTTGTCACAATGGCATGCTTGGAAAGGTCTAGAGTTAAATGGTCCGGATCTCTCCACTTATTCAGGTCTGCAGCCTTTATTTATAGGAATGGTTGGCTTGAAGTAACAAACTGTTCAGATAATGTCAGCTACTTTGACTGTTTTCCTATGCTCATTCCTTTCTTTGGTATTTCATGTTGTACAGTGCACAAGGGCTTATGAGACACTATAGGGGGATGGATATTGTACTACCTTTCATCTGAAATGGGAGGTTGGGCATTTCTGTTGTCAGTCTTCTCTGGAATGGTCTTTCACATTCTTGAAAGGGTTTTAGGATGAAACTCTGAGTCTGTTATTTTAATATGTTGACTCAAAAAATATTAAAATAAATAGTGTCTCATGGCTTTTGATCATAGACCTCTTGTCTTTTTTCGAGTCTCCATGTCCATTACTGATACATATATTATTTTAAATTCTGAAATCAGGCCCAGGACACAGATATTTTCAAGAAAAAGAAGAGGAAAGGGCAGGAAGACAGGTGAGTGACACCATTCGATACTAGGGCGGAATGGTACAGATAAACCTATTGATTAGTTCTGAAAATAAGCCTGTCAGAGTGCTTCACAGTCTCTCCTGTGTCCTAATCAACCCCTTTAAGGGGAAGACAGAACTGGATTGGGAACCTTCTCCAGTCTCCCATTTTCAAAGACCAGAAACTACAGGTGGAAAAGTTGAGATTGACATTTCCAACAAAGACTTCTGTCCCCTGCTGATATAGCATGGTCTGCGTCTAGAGCACCTGTCCTTTGACACTGCACGAGGCAGAGCATTGAATATTGATTTTGTTGCTTATGGGTGTTTCTTAGCTTTTGTTCTAGTGCCTTTTCTTCCTCCCTCGAGTTACTATTTCAAAACTGACCCCTTTTATCGTAACCTGTTTCTTGGACTCTGTGAGTTTGCACATGCCATCAGCTGGTCATGTGTCCTGCCCGTGTCTGTCTATTGAGGGCGCACTGGATGCCAGGCACATAGGCGTCTTAGGTGTTGGGGATACCGCCATGAGCACACTGAGGGCATCCCTACCCTCGAGAACCTTACATTGTAGTGAGGGAAACACACCAAAGCATATAAACAGATAAGTACAGGGTGTCGGGCTGGCATGCTCTGTGAGAAAAAATCACTGGGGGAGGACCGGGAGGGATGTCATTCCAAGGAGGTAACATCCAGGCTGAGACCCGAGTGAAGAGGAGGGGGCCGCCTGGAAAGACTATGTAGAAGAAACCAGTGCAGAGGCCCTGAGGCAGGAAGGCAGTTGGCTGTTTCAGGGACCACAGGGCTGTGCCTGGGAGGGGCGAGGCTTTGCAGGAGCGGATCATGGTGGTCTGGTTAGTGGTGCTGCGATCCTTCTTTATAAGCTTAACTCATACTTTTCTCTCACTTTAAATCTAGGAAATCCAAAAAGAAGAAATCAGCTCCCAGTATTTTGTCAAGTGGACGGGTTGGACAGGTTGGAAAATTCAAAAATGGGACATTGATTCTGAGTCAAGTTGATATCAAGAAAATCAATTCTTCCCGAGTGGCTAAATGAAGTGCTCTGTGAACTAAAGAGAGGACTGGGAAAGGGCCATTGCACTGGGACAGGACCCGTGCAGGACTTCTGGACTCTTATTTCCTATTTCATAGGCGGCTTTTTCAGGGGAAAATCAAACAAATGATAAAGCTTCTGGTTGCTGAAGTGTCTGATGGCCCATGTTGAGCCAACCACGCGTCATGTGAGTGTCAAGTAAAATTATTGAAAAGATGCTTAATTTTCTCAGCACAGGTCACTCAAGTTTCACTTTCACTGGTGTTTTGTGCATTTCTTCGTAATAAGGTTTTTCATAAATTTACTGATTCATAAGGGCTAATAATTAACTTTGAATTGCCATTTAATTTAATTTTCTAAAAATGATTTAATGCTACTGTGTCATGCAAGAACTAAAAATGTGATGATCTGTCAGTTATTTTGTGGGAAAAGGAGCTTCAGTGTTCAGTTTCAAGTATATAAATCTTCCTAAGAAGTTATGTAAATAAAATACAGCTTCTGTGTATATGTGGCTGTGACTATTAAACAGCAGCAGACGAGTTTGGCTCATATCCTAGTACCTGCATGTAAGCGAGTGCTGCCTCCAAAGTGACCCCCCTGGGTGGCTAAACATAAATGTTTTAATGATCTCACCCTTGCTGAAAGTGTTTCAAAGCTTATGGCACATTTTTAAAAGTCCTCAATGCTGGAAATCCATTTTGGCTTTTTTTTTTTTGCCAAAAAATTTAGACCCAAACCTAGTAAATAATGACATGTTGGTCAAGACGGAGGGTAGAAACGCTGGCTTTTCTGTGTGAGCCTGAGCTGACTCCAAGGTGCTGCCAGCTTAGCTCGGAGATGTTTTGAATTGGGGCAAAATTGGGATTAATGTTTTGCTACCCAGGTTTATTTTGAAAGGCAGTATTCATTAGGGTATATTTTGGCAGTTTTTTTAAGACTTAAAAAGGTGTAGAAGATCCCAAACACGACAAAGCACTGGGAATATTCTCAGGAGCTGGAAATGAGTAGGTGAAGTAGGTGGTGAACTCCCTCGTTTTTGCCATTGGAGTAGGTGGTGGACTCCCTCGTTTTTCAGCAGAGGACCAGGGGACGAAGGTGCCCGCCTTGCCCTGGCCTGCAGCGAGCCATGCGCCTCAGACCACTGAGCAAGCCAAGTATAAATAACTCACCTGGTTATGGCTTCACCTTTTAACTGACTGAGTAAAGATTTAAAGACCACAGGTGCTCTGGAAACACTCTGAGGTTTAGGGGCTAAAAGAAAGCAACGTGTACTTTGATGATAAAGTTTCAAACCAAGCTTTCTGTTTCCCCACTGATAAAGTTTCCTCCAGCAAGGTGAGCAGAGGGAAGGGCAAGGAAAACAGTCAACAAAGGAAGGTGGTCGTGCCCTGGCCAGAGTGGCTCAGTGGATAGAGCATCAGCCCACGCACTGAGGGGTCACTGGTTCGATTCCTGATCAAAGGCGGCACATACCTGGGTTGCAGGCTCGATCCCCAGCCCCCATAGGGGCACATGCAGGAGGCAACCAATTGATGTTCTCTCATCGACGTTTATCAGTGGAAACCTTGGGTGAAGATTAACTAAAAAAAAAAAAAAAAAAAAAAAA